TATTTCAGGACGTCCACTTCTCGCTGGTTAAGCCGGCGCTTTCTACTGAATCATTGGATCAAGGTTAATTGGTATCCCTGGAGAAGCCCCATCTTACAGGGACCACTTCTCGCCGATAAGGTTGCTATCCCTCCCTGCCTGGCGCCTGGCATTGGATCTGCTAATTCCTACCTACAGCCCTAACACTGTTTTGCATTCATTCAGGCCCGAAGACCTGTGAGGCAAGGAAAAAAATCTGGAATTACTCCGAAGAAAAATTCTCCGGAAAAACTCGGCCCAAAACAGCTGGGGTGGCATAGTAACTTTTTCCGATGATAACAGTTTTTGAAAAAATCTATTCTTGGTTATTTTTTAACAAGTTTGACTTCTTTTAAAGTGATCATTTCAATTTTTAAAATTCGTTTCCGGAACGTTCCAAATATTATTGTCATAATATTTTATAAAAAGTTTGCATAAATTTTATTTTCTACTTCTGCAAAGGGCTCAATGCTCAAGCTTAACCAATAGAGATCATTATTAGCATCGTCTGTATTGAAGAATAAAAATTATTAGGTTTTAAAGTTCTACATATTAACTGTAAAAGAAAAAAAATATCTGTTGAATTTTGACTTACTTCGATGACAATAATTTTTCACGTGTGCTTTATATCCATTTTGTTGATTTTTTTTTTTTTTTTTGTTGTTGTTGTTGTTGAAAGCATATTTTTTCTTAGTTTTTTTTGTGCATTCTAGGTGCTAAAATAAAGTATTACTTACAATAAGACCAACTTTGAGCTTGCTTTTTGTGTGAAATGGAATACAGTACGTACTAGTATATCTCACTGCTAAATAAATTAACAATTTTTTGAGCTGCTGCTTTTAGCCGACTTAAAGGAATACTAAAAAAAAATCTTATACATCAAATAGTAGAAAGTATCATGTAATAACAAAATAAGCTCACTTGAACTTATGCAAAACATCTGCATTACCCCCCACCTGGACGTTATGGTAGGTTCAGTCTTTTTGGTTTTTTTATAATCGATTGAGCAAGTGATACATATTCTTTCAAAGAAATCCATGATTTTCAGAGGATTTAAAAAACATTTTTCTATCAGCACTTGAGTTAAGAGTTCAACAAACTGGCTAAATCAAATAAAACTGATTACATCAACAATTTCATATATTTATTATGAATAAAATTTACTTATTAATCTTTGTTAAATTATTGTGAGCTTATCGAAGAACTTATACAATACATTAAGAATATGTATGTATACCTATATAATGTACGCATGTACTTCGCATTTCTTCTTGACCATAACGTAACTTAAAATCGACATTACAACAGTTAAAATGTTCTATTCCAAATTTACCTTTGCTTTTACAGTCCTGTAGCTTTTTTCTGTGTGTATATCATACAGAATAGCCTATTTTACTAGTTATTTAGAAAAGTTCAAAATGTAGTATCGGGCCGAAGATAGTGTACGTTATATTTGTGCACATCAGGAGTGCACATCAATTTTTTATGTTTTTTACCAGGGAAATTTTCGAGAAAAAAAATTATTAAATATTGACAATTTATCGTGGTCTCTCATAAAGAATAAGGTAAGGTTATCGTGTAAACAAAATGAGGGTACATTTTGAATGTGTTAAAATCAAAAGAAACGTTTTCATTGATATTTTAGTAATAAAAAAAAAAAGGACAGAAAAAGTCGATCGATTTTAAAAAAATGTCATCAATTTCAATCGTACAGTTGAATGTTTGTGCAAGAGGAAGCACTTAGTAATGGGGGTACATCTGCGCGGGCCCGTGGCACATCCCGTTTCATGCCTCTCTGAATGATACTCCCAAATCTCCTTAAAGAACGCATAAGATCACAATTTGTTAATATAAAAACTAAACCCTAGGCATCTGATTATTATGTTATGAACATTATTTAAGTATGTTGGATGCAAGACACTTATGCTTAATTTTCTAATTTTTTCCCGATGAAAGCAAACACTACAAATTATAAAAGTGACGGACCATGAAGAATTATCAGCATAATAGAAAGGCACGCTAAAACTCTAATTGGCTTGTTCTGTTTCGCAACTCTATGACGCTTTGTAGGACTGTACCCTAAAAGATCTTTCAATATTCTCCAGTTGTAACATCCGTTAAATCTCTATATTGACTTTTTCTCTGAAATGGATTGGTATGGCATACTTTTTTTATAAAAAATAGTTTTTTAAGAATTAGTCAATGTTTGTAATGTTTAAAACGTCCAGGCTCCTCACTAAATATGTGTTTGTAACAGAAAATTAGGCCATTAAAAGAAAATTCTGTTAAAGTGACAGTTCAACAATATTGTTTATTTCCTCCTCGATTTATGAGTGTAATAGTTTATTTAGACACACCTTGATAACTGTGACTGTATTTTCATTAGTGTTGTCAGATTGCAGCAGTTGAAAAAAAACTGTCTCCCATAAGTTATCGTATGGTATTTAATGAGCTCCCAGTGAGAAAAGTGGTGTTAGAAAATGTATTATAACTATAATAAAAATTACTATATTTTTTAGGAAAAACTGAGATACACTCGCCATATTATAAAAATTACTATGCTACATAATAAAAGCAGATTATATTAAAATTTGCTATTTAACGTTGTAATTTTTACTTTGATAAGAAATAGTTTTTATATTCAAGAGAAAATTATGTATTCATATTATTTATCCGCAGGGAATATGTAACTAACAAAAGATTAAGATACAGATCTTTTTTTCTTTAAGATTATAGAAATGGATGCGTTTTAAAAATATTTTCATTTTAAGATTATCTGCTCTGAGTGGGAATTGAACTTTTATCTTTCAGCCTTCAAATTAGACTCCGTAACCACTATCCACGGTATGGTATGTCTACCTTAGCATGGATAAAGTACACGTATGAATGTGTACTGTTAATGATACACACAATAAAGTTAAAAACCAAAAGGTTCTCTGTGGACCACAGTGTTGACCACAGATAATGAGTCGATTGAAAATTATTTGTATGTATAAATTCTTAACCCTTATAAATCGAAAAATATATTTCTCGTAATATTTACATTAGTTTAAACGCAATTTTAAAATCTAATCGGCATGTATACCTTGTAACTGGCGATTAATACCTGAACCGCCGTTTAAGCTCACCTAGACTATGCGAGAAAGAAGGCCGGGGAGAGAAGGTAGTGTCATAATGTGTACGAGAGAGAAAGGAGAGACAAGCGTCTTGCGATGCATATTAGTGCGGAACGCTCTGGGCCATTAGGCCAGAAGAGATTAGCAGAGATGAGTAGAGAGATTGCTAACGCCAATGCTACGATGCGAGACGACTTTTTGGCACTGATCGGAGCGCCCCGCTGAGGCCAGCCATCGAACCGGGCGCACATCTCAGTACTCGTATCGGTCAGCGTGCGCCTACGAGAAGAGGAGTGGATTCGCGTGGAAATGGTCATATAGGCGCACATTTTCGAGAGACGTGGAAGGGGTATACCGAATGTGTGTCTACGAGAAGAGGAGTGGAAATGTTGACTATATCTATATATCTGAACGCACAGCCAAAGCAAGCAACGACACGAATTTTTCTCTTTTGACTGCAACCGAGTATATCGTATATATATTAAACTGATTTTTGCTCTCGCTCTTTTTTCTTTTTCCTCTACTTTTAATACTTATTTTGAAATTCAGTATTATTTTGAAAAAATATTCAGCTATTTTTTTAAGGATGGCAGTTCAGTTATAATCCCTAATTTATTATTTTTTCTCATAATTTTTATGAACTGTAGGACAAGCTCCGAAGGTTATTAATGAATATAAGTGGCTTTTAGATTTCTAAGGACCGAAGTTTCGGTAGCTAAGTTGCGCGATGCTTATGCCGCCGCTCGAATTGTTTTGCTATCAAGGGATCGATTCCAACTTTCTGTAGATTTTTTTTTTTAATGCAGTTCATCGTTCAGGTTAAATTTATTTTGTTTACGTTTTATTTAAATTAATAAAAAATGTTGCCAACT